AATTTTCTATTACTTTGTCTGTTTTGTGATCCCACCAGTTGTTGTTTTTATTGTTGTTGTTATTATTATTTCCTTTTTCTGACCCCTCTTCCCCTTTAAGGAGCTCCTGAAGATTTGTGAAAATGTTCAGTCCTCATGAAGCTATATCTTTCTTTTTTAATTCACAAACTAATATAGTTCAGCCTTTGGGGCTCTCCTCTATATAAGAAGAATCCACACTTTGCTTTTAAACCAACGTGTCAGAAGGAATGTTGGTAATAAATTTCATATCTACAGGCAGCCTTAATTTATATTAGTTTTGAGATTGTACCTTACTTTCTCATGAAATGTTATGTTCAATAATAGGACAAAGAGAAATGGAGTAATTTAAATGTGTGAAAAACATCAAACCTGTGGTTTCTCTGATAATGAGAATATGAGTTAGAAAGTACTTGTAAAGCATATTATCTGCTTTAAACATAATGCTATTTTAAGAATTGTAATCAGTTCTCTATTACCTAGTGAACTGTATTTGGGCATGAGTATGTGTGTGTGTATTTTCCGTCTTTTCCCCTATATTTTGAATGTTCTTGAATATTGCTAAGTGATGTTTATGGGTGCAGTTTTGTAAGAAAACCCAATTTTCCTTCCCTGAAGGGAGTTGTCTGTGAGGGTTAGGCATCTGGAATGGAGCATTCCCTTTGCATTAGCATTCCCAAATGTACTTGGGGTCTTTCTTTCACAATTTAATAACAGCAGTTTTGCTATACAAAACACAATTTTACTGGAAAGGTTCCTCAATCTGTTCCTTCAATAGTATACCTAGATTTAGGATGCATAATAAGCTCTTATGACTTAATGAGAGTCTGCAAATTCTTCCCTACATAAGTTAACCCTCAGTTCAGGGAGCTGGTCAAGTTATGTAGGAAACTGAAATGGTAGAGTCCCGAAGTGCTAAGTGGACTATTCCATTTCAGACTTCAGTTTTGAATGCCATGTGTTGCCAGCAGGTTGGTGATTATAAAGATGATAGGCATCCTCTTGCTGGATAAACTGAAGATGACAAGGAGGAAAAATGCTTCCATGTAGATGAAGAAAATGACAATCTGTAATGAGGAAGATTAATATTCAGGTATATGGCTTTATTTATGGATTGTTCGCGATGTTCTTAATGTAATATATTGCTTGAAATGCTAGACTGGGTCTCATCAAGGCTGAAAACTTACTTAAAAGTAAATTTATTCACTTAGTAACAAACATACTTATGCTCAAACTTTCTTTCAAGCTAAGGCATTGCACACAATGTTATTTATGGATATGCTGTACTTCTATGACCCTGTTTCTGTTCCTTTAGAATTTGAGTAATAATGTGTATGAATGAGGTTTCCAACAGTGTACCCGAGTTTTCATGCATGCACAAAGAGCTAGGATACTGTATGAATTGTGAATATTTTAAAAATATTAATATTCCTTTTTGCTATATATCCATTTTCATCTCCTGCAAATTATTTACTATCAACTTATTTCTTTTTCTTTGCATTAAGGACAAACAGCAAACTTCTTTCATCTGCCTTCTCTCTGATTTATGATAAATTTAGTTTCCTTCAGCCTGGCATTTGCTTCAGCAGGCAACCTTCCTTCAAGTACCACCCTGATTGATGTTGTAATCTTTGATATCTTCCATTAGCCTCCAGGATCACTAAGTTCAAGGCCCTCTTGGAACCTAAGGAGCCCTGCCGAGGAACTGAAGGCCTTTCGAGTCCTTGGGGTGATTGACAAGGTAATTCTTCAGTGCCTCTTCAAGAGTTCAGTCATAAATTGACTGCATGCTGACATTCTGTCTTTGAAGCTGCGGATCTTAAAGATATGAAACAAAGGAGGAAAATGACTCAAATGCATCTGCACTTTAAAATAACAAAAGTAGAAGGAAAAGAAAGGCTTTTATCTAAGCAATTCATGTAAGGTCATGCAAAATATATTTGAGTAAAAGAATAAGGCATATGTTTGGTGCCATTCTGTGAGAAGGGCCTTGGTTTTAAAAAAGATTGCTCTGTGCACTTTCAGAAAGTTGCCAAGAAGGTGCCAGGGGACAACAACTTTGAAAGAAGGCAAGTTGGGAAATTTGACAGCTCATCCCATTGAAAAGGCAGCAGTCCTAACTCAAAAACTGAGTTGAAATACCAACAAACAGTTTCTACAGTATCGTTTACTCCATTTTTTGTAGAGCCAATAATTTAATTTTTTTTGTCTGTTGATTCTTCTTTCCTCAACTCTCCAGGTGATACAAATAATGAATGAGATTTGGCTAACTGAAATATAAAGCTGCTACCAAAATGGTTGTTGAAGTTTAACAATGCTAGATATTTTATAATCAAATGAAACTGGATTAATAGAGTTATAAAGAAAGGTACTGGTGGAAAATATCTGGAATAGCCTAGTCAAGCCTTTGAGCTGAGTGTTGAAAATCCTTGATTCCAAAGTCAGTTCACTCATAACTTTTGTGGGTTATTGACAGACAGTCACATCTTAGGATTGTTTGAATTCTTGAAATAAGGTTTGCAAAATACCTAGGCCAAATATGGAAGATGCTACAGAAATATGAAAATATATAAAACCGAAGGATAAATATACAATGTTTATGAGTTGCTATTATCTTCCAAGAGTTCTTTGGAGAGTAAAAATGCTTTTTCAAGATGACTGTAGAAAAATATATTTCAGTTGGATATTACACATTCTTAGTCTTCTTAAAAGTATTGTACAGTGCTTGATGGTGTGTGAACTGGCATCAGAGACTAAATTGTTGTCGAAGCTGAAGATGGTACACATTTGATAGAAGTGAGAAGGAGGGAGCTGTATAAATTAGAGTGAATAGGATGGAACCAATATCTCTACAATACATTTTTAGGTTGGAGTTACTGATAGTCTGTGCAAACAGAGAAAAAATGAAGGAATGGGCAGCCTAGTTTAACAGGAATGTAATAGTTTCCTCACTGGCATAAGGGACAAATCTGAAACTCTGCATTGGGTTGCATCTTCAGTTCTTTTGAAAAATAAGGGGTTATATATTTTTAAAAATAAACTTAGGGACAACCAGTTGCTGCCATTCAGTAAATGTGGCATCAAGGATAACTTGTAACATTTATTTTTTAATTGTGATGTCTGCTGCGTTAAGCTTGTACCACGTATCATAATAGAAAGATTTTTCGGTCGTGTCACGTCATCTGCATTGTGAATTACTTTAAAAAGAGAATACTTAGATTTCAGTCAATTTAGTTCGGTTTCCTTCAGTGGCTCTAACTCAGATGAGCAGACCAGTGTCCTTTTCTTTCATTTACATAACCTACTTACAAGAGTCTGATCTAGCCTTGTGGGTCTTCCATTCCATATTTCTTGAAAAGCCTCAACTATAAAAACAATTTAACCAGCCAGTGATAGGACTATTTAACCTGATCCTTCACCAAAAGGGATAGAGCAGATAACTGAAAATCTTGGACTGAGGCCTTTTGTAGGGTTCATCCATTGTTACAACCAATCCAGAAATATTTCTGTAGTTGCAGGATGGAACTTAACTACTTCAGATGGTGAGGCAGTGAGTGGAGGGTAACAGTCACTGCTTCTAGGCCAGCCTTATAAATAAAAGGGGAAAAAAATCAGCAAATACAGGCAGACTTGCTAGATTTCTATTGCCTAATTTTTGTTTTTTGTTGCTAACAAATCAAAAGAGTAAAAATAGTGTATTTAGTAACCCAATAACCAGCCTATGGGATTTTGGCTGTCTCGAGATAATTCTTGCAGCGAATGGGCTAATCAAATCAGGAATGGCCAGTTGGTTGCTGAAGGTGAACCAGTTTAATCTAAAGTCTAGTGAACTTATATTATAATCTACAAGTGTATGTACCAAAAGGGAAGGGGGTTTCTAATTTGGGTATGTATGTGCATCTGAGAGAGTAAGTCTGCCTTTCATGTTAATACTGGCTTTAGATTTATGACAGTGGCCATAATGTCCATGAAGAGAATGATTTGTGTGACAACAATTTATTTCTAGCCAAGAGTCTGGGGGAATAAGATGTCCCTCAAAATAAATGAATACATACTTCTACTATTGTTTTATATTACATTTCTGCACGGTTATCCTTGTGATTAATTATCATATTAATCAATCATTTGTCTCTGGGCTACTGGCACACAACCTTGTGAGGGGCCTTGGGCTATATCTGACCACAATAGCATGCAGGGACTGTAGTCCAAAAGTGGCAGCACCAGGGTTGGTGGGAGCAGGAGAAAAATAAGCTTTGATTAAAATATACATTCAGTGTATGAAATACATTCAATATGATCACTTGTTAAAAATATAACAATTGTCCCCTTCTGCTACATTCATATTACATTTGGTAGCAATGTCTAGATTGTCTTTGCAAGCAGCACTAGGTATGCACCTTGGTTCTAGGTGGATTAGAACCTCAGAATCCAGACTATTTAACAATTAAAATAGCTTAAGCAGTTCTGAACAATTAAGACATCCTTTAAAACCCTGACCATGGAACTGTGCTCATTTTTAAATCTCAGTAAGGTTCCAGGACTCAGCAACAGGTAGACAGAAACTTGGCCATGCTTGATGTATATCATCTTTTCCTTTAAAAACAAATTGTTTTTAGTTTATCACTGCAAACTACATATGCCATATCTTTTCCCATGGACTATGGGGAATGATAATGTGATGATTACAACTTTTCAAGATTCCTTTTTTAAATAGTAATTTTATTAAAAATTACAATTACAAAGATAAAAACTAATACAAACTAAAAAAAGAAAAGAAAAAGAAAAAATAGAAAGTGCAGAAAAGAAAAAATAGAAAGAAAAATAGAAAAGAAAGAAAAAAAAATAATATAGTAAGGGAAAAGAAGCATATAAAGAAGTGACTTCCCCCTTCATCACAACAAGTATAAACAATTTTAGTAACTTATCA